CTCAGCCAGAAGAAGCTGAGCATTTGCGGGTGGCGGCGAGGTGACGGCTGGCTCGGAGGAGAAGCGTCCGGACACCTGCACGCGCGGCCGGCACCGGGCGCAGGCGTCAAGGCCAGGGCTGGCGCAGAGCCCTGCGACAGGGCCAGCGCACACCCCCTGCTTCCTTAAATATAGCCATGCATAACTTTTCTTAAGGTAGCGCTTGACAAATCTGCTCTTGCCTGGAAAATGGCCGGCGCTCTGGAGGTTTGCTCTGGATGCTCCGCTGCAGGAGCGAATGCGCCGGGTCAGCACGCTGCCAACAGCTCTGCGGAGCACGGTGCTGCCAGTTTCCTTCCATCTCTCCCCAGCGAGCAGCCCCTGAGATGGGGCCCTGTGTCCCCTCCACAGCCCCATCCATCACCCCCTCTTGTCCCCCCCATCCCCCCAGCAAGGGGCACGGGGTTGCCTGGCTGCTCCCCAGCCTGTTCAGTACTGATGGCACCACATCGGCACAGGGACACGGGAGTGTCTGGCTGTTCCCCAGCCCGCTCGGTACCGACAGCACTGCATCGGCACCAGGCCCCTCCCGCCCCGATTAAACCTCCCTGAAAATATTTGTCTTCTCCCTGGAGCTACAGGCACCGAAGCCGCGCTCGCTGGCCGGGAAAGCCTCTGCAAACTTCTCCGGAGCCACTCCAATTCACACAGCTGCTCCCTGGCCCTGCTGCCTTTGAAGCACCTCTAACAGAGCTTATTTTTTTTTATTACAAGGAAATAAAATGCAAATTGTCATGTCACTGCTTTAATGATACAGCCTATCGGGTTTTTGGGGGAAATGTTGCTCTATTTGTATTTGATCTACATGCTTTTATAAGTGAATCTTGGTAATCGACGTACAAGAGTTTGATCAAAGTTCCTCACAGGCACAGGCAGCACAAGCATTGCCATTGGGAAGCCAGCGGTGAAATAATTAAACAAATTCAACAGGAAATAAGGTCTCACTTTTTTTGGTAAATAAGAATAAGGAAGCACTGGAACAGAGCAAATGCTCGTGGTGGGCACTGAGCATCAGTATCAGATGCTGCGGGATGTGGTGGGTGCTGCCTCTGCAGCGCTGGGGTCTCAGCGACCCAAATTTTAGGCTGGACGTGGGAAATGCTCATCCAAACCCTAGATCCAGGTGCAGGTGAGGCGGGACAGCTCGGTGCCTCTGCGAAGGCTGGGCCAGGCAGGGATGGAGCTTGTGGCCCAGCCCGGGGCGATGCTTGCCCACCGAGGGTTAGGAGCCTTTGGGGGATGGAGGAGGCAGCACCGCACCAGGTGATTAGGTGATTGATCTTCCGAGCACAGTGACGGAGACTCCCTCTGGAAGAAGATAGTTGTGCAGCTTTGACGGAGGACTTTAACCCCACTGAGCATTAGCTGCTCAGCTGCTAGTATAAAATCTGCAATTCTTCATCAGCTTTCTGAGAGCGGGGAGTGGGCATCCGCTCAGCTCTCCCCCCACAACCACTTCCATGCCTTATGGGTAACTTTGCACACCCTGATGCAATTAACTCTGATCATTTCAGAAAAGAACATTTCCTTTAAACCATTTTCCTTTTTGGGGGCAGCAAATAAGATTATTTTTCACCAAACCAGTTTTCTACCCACTTGCAGTAGCCCAGGTGCCCTGTGAGGCTTACGGGTGGCCGGATTGCAACAAGCATCCTCCAGCAGATCTCCCCACCTTTAGCACAGAGGCTCATCAGGGACCTCTCCCTCCCTCCTTAGGACTGTTTGTTTCTGCAACTAGCGATTACGATCAAGAGATTTGCTTGACGCAGGGAAAAATGATTCTTTCCCCCGCTCCACATCAGAGGGAGCAGCAGAATTAGAAACACTTTAGATGCTTGACCTGCGCTCAAGCCTCCAAACAAAAGTTGCAAGGAGAGGGTCGATGTTTTCCAGGCCCGATTAGCACTATGCTGTAATTACAGCTTGCGGCAGCCGTATTCCCCCAGCTCTTGCGCTGCCTGCATCCCTTCACCCTGGCGCGCCGGCACACCCGGCAAGCGCGCGCCCAGCTCTGGCTGCCCAGCAAATGCACGCAGGCGCCAGCTTCTTCCTTCCAATCCATCACCATATGCCCGTCTTTTACAGTTCTTTGGTGCGTGATGCTCAGAGAGTGGATAATTAGCTAAATGAATTAATTGACATTCATACTTGTAATTAGCAACCGGTTACAAGCAGCTATTCTCCTTGGGACAACTAAAATTTCTTGGGGATTGGTGTTAAAATACTGGAAAATCGTTAAGAGTAAATAACAAGGGCTGTGCGTAGCGTGCGCTCATGGCGCACGGTTTCTTCCCTCGGCCGTAAAAGCTGCCGCACTGTAAACAAGACCGTGCAAAAGCAAAGCAGGCTGTGAAATGTGTTGGAAACCCCGCTGCTGCTCGGGAGGAGGAGAAGTTTCCAGCTTCAGATGAAATCGCGGCCAGATGGGCGGCCTCCAGCCAGCAGCTCCCGCCGGCTCCCCGGCTAACCCTTTCCACCCCCAGTTACTGAAGAGTTTGCAGTGAGGCCCCAGCAGCGGAGGCTGCTCGTGCAAAGCAATGGGAATTGGATGTCGTGAGTGTTAATTAAACCATTAATTACTGCTGAGCAAAAAAAAAGTGACCTATTGCTTTCATTGCTTCTTGGAGTAGTCAGAAGGATAAATTGCTCACAGGCTCGGCAGCAGGAGAGCTGCAGTGTAAGTCAGATCTTTGCTGAAACGTAGGTTTTCTCGGCTATTAAGGGGACGGCAGTGAGTGTTGACGCGGTACCTGCGCAGCCGCGGCTGACCCAAGCAGCCCTGCGAAGCCAGAAGTGAGACCCGCACCAGGGATGGGGCTGGTGGAGACTGAGCCAAGCAGCCAGGAGCAACAACCCCAGCCCTCGACTTGCTGCTGGGGGGGACCATGATGCCAGGGGCTTGGAGATGCTTTCAGGGTGCCCCAGGCTGCTCCATGTACCCCTAGCAGGGACCCCGCTCCCTGCCACGGGATGCACCCATCACCTGCAAGCCCCCAGCCACGCAGCTGCCCACGGTCAGCACCCATGGCATCTGGAGGCACGGCCTCCAGGAGGGTTTGCAGAGGCGATCCCACGCCCCAAGCGGTAGCAGGGGTGGGAGGCTGGTGCTCGAGGCATCCCTGCCTCTGTGGGGTGCCAAGCACGGCTCCCTCTTTGCAGGATGATGGTGTAGTACCCAAGGTTGGGCTGCAGGCCTCTTCTCCCCAGGAAATGCCCTGCAAAACCTGGGTGCCGATGGGAAGGAGGGCGGGCAGCACAGCAGGCACCGCTGTGCAAACAGCTCATTATGGAAAAAGGAGGAAAAAAAAATGATACTAATGCACCAGCTTTGTAAGTCAAACCCTTGTGTCGTCTTGCTGCATCAGGAGCTGCTGCAACACTGGGGAGGAGAGCAATGCCACGGCCGCACTGCCCGCCTGGGCTGGGGGTCCTGCGTCCCCCCGAGCAGGGGAGGATGACCACCCCAGCCGCTTGGGACCGGCACTCAGGGTCCTCTGCCCTGAATCACCCTCCCACCCTGATGGCCTCCGCTACCCCACAGCGGCTGCAGCAGCACCCGCTGCAGGACGGGGCAATGGGATGGGGTGATGGGATGGGGTGACGGCACCCTGCGAGCCGGGGTCTCCCTCAGAGAGGGGTTCTCCCCCGGCTCCTGGCGCGGGATCGGGGCCACATCGCTCTGCCAGGAGTCCTGTTCTTGGCTCCTCCGAGCTGTCAAAGCTCTAGATTCCCCTGGCAGCGCTTGGAGTTTAAAGGCAGGGGAAAGGGAGGGAAAAAAAAAAAGGCAAGAGCTCAGAAGTAAGGCAGTTGAAAAGGCTGGGCCAAGGAGCTGTCACACCACCCTTTCAGCTATTACACACCCCGGTAAGCTCTCAAACACACAGGCTGCACAAGATAGCAGGAAGGCTAATTTTTCTTTAGCTGCAGGCAAAAAAATTCAATTACAAGGTAACCTATTTTTCAACTCCTCCATTGGTATTTACTTAATTTCCTAAGGCCGGCTTGCCCGCCCCGCAATAGAGAGGAGGAGGAAGGCCATGTGCCGTTAGTCTAAGCCGGCCTCTGGCTCGCTGTGGAGTTTATTTTGGTTTTAATTCAAACGTTAAAGCCCAGAGCAAGCGTGGTTTGTTCGAACGCTGGTCAGCAAACGGGACAGCGCATGACATGGGGCACCAGTGCAGCGTCCGGCCATGACGGGGATGGGGAGCACCTGGGGGAAAGGCCAGCGGGAAGCAGGACCTTCTGGAGAAGGTTTGGGACGTGCCAAGGAACAGGCCTGCTGCTGGTGGCCCGTGCGGGCAGGGACTGCCCTGGGCGGTCCATGAGGACAGGGACAGCCCCGGGGGTACACAGGGACAGGGGGAGTCCCGGGGGGTCGTAAGGACAGGGACACCCAGGGGTACACAGGGACAGGGACAGTCCAAGGGGGTCTGTGGGGACAGGGATACCCAAGGGGTACATGAGGACAGGGACAGGCCTGGGGGTCCGTGAGGACGGGGACACCTCAGGGCTCCATGAACACTGGGACATCCTGGGGCGGAACACGGGGACAGGGACATCCCCGGGGCGGGCACGAGGACACAGGACACCCCCGGGGGGGGTACAGGGGCACAGGACCCCGGGGGGTCCGTGCGGTACCGGCGCCGTCCGCG